ACTCACCTGTTCAGTGGTAAACCCCACAGGGGGGAAGTGGTACCTAACTTCCTGTCCAGTTGTCATGTGTGAACACTTCTGAGTGCTGACACCAGTTCACTCCTGAATGCATCGTGCAGAGCAGGAGTGAAGGGCAGAGGTGGGGACGGGGTAGCGCCCGGCTGGGAGGTGACGGGCGAGGACATTTTAGTCACAGCGGGGCAGGGACGGTTAGACGGAGCCTCGTCGCCCTCGCCGCTGGGGTCTGACTGGCAAATTAGACAGCGAGAGGTTGAAGGTCAGCTCCGTGGGGGGGCTGTAGTCTGGAAAGAAGGATAAAGGGCAGTGACAGGAGCGAGGAAAATCCCACCCCCAAATGTATAATTGCTGTTTTGATGCTCCCTCAATGTTTGTTCCTGTTTATCTTATTTCTACTTCACAAGCTACTCTGTTTTCTTTTTTCTGGTGCTTTATTTTGCCAAACCAGTTTGGATAAACTACAAGGATAAACACAAGATGAACGTCTACACATCACAGATAATTGAAGTTACTTGAGTTTGAGGCTTCTGTCCATTTAAAGCAGCTGAAGTGACTTTAGTCAGTGTTTTCATGTGTGTGCATGAAGCAGTTGATTTAAATAATCAAAGCCCATCAAGCTCAGAGGGGATTTATCTTCTCTTTTAGCTTATTTTGCAGCACTTTTTTGTACTGCTCACTCTCTCCAGTCTGATCAGACTCAGGGATCGTGCTCAAGGGATTTTAAATAAGGACTGCAGAATTGCCCCACTGCACTGTGGCTTCAGAAACAAATCAATCAATCAGTCAATCACCTCTTTTTATAACACATAGTGTTATCATTTAGATACTTAATTACTGTTAAATAACCATATTAACCTGATGTAAAGTAGATGAGCCAGAGCTCTTGCGCTGTAATTTCTGCATATTTAGCGTTATTCCTCGGTTTTCTTTTCTTTTATTGGACATGGATATTTCTATTTCAAAGGTTTGGTTTGGCACATGCAGGTTTGTGTCATAATTTGGCAAAATTAGTAGAAGTTTGACTTCCCCACAATTAAATTTGCAATAAAGTTCCTAATTTGAGTCACCATTTCTCCAGCTGATGACCATGGTGTGCGGCATGTCAAAGTCATCTTTGGAGGCTCATTATTAAACATATTTCAAGAGTTCTAACATGAAATGCCACATAAACCCTCTGGAGCAAGTCAAGAGCTCCTCGGTTGCAAATAAAAACATAGACCCGATCTCCGTCACAGACGCTGGAGTGATCCTTAAAGCATGAAAAGGCCTCTAATTGCATTTATCTAAAGTCAGACCGCTGTGGAATACTAATATGGCTGTGAGGGTCTCAAAGTTGGGGCTTAGCTTTAGTGCAAAGAAAAGACTGAATCCCATTTCCTTCCCAATTCCTCCCCCGCTCACTATGGGAACCGCAGGGCCTCTCGGGCAGGATTTCCCAGCAGAAAAAGACTTTACTGTATTTGTTTATTTGCCCCAGACAGTTTGCCTTGCTGTGTACGAACGTCTCTTCCCCCATCCCCTCGCTCGCGGCGTCTTCTCCTGCAGAATGCTCTTGGCAGCCCACAGCCACATGCCTTTCATTGACACACACCATCCTGTCATAAAAATGCCAGCCGGCTCAATGAGGAGAATGTTTGTTCGCAGCGTTTTGGAATTCCCGTCTTGCCTTTCCTCCAGTTGAACCCCAGAGACCTTGAGAGGAAGTTGGAGAATGACTGGAGTCAAATAAAGAGCTGCAAAGGGCTGAAAAGCTGGCAGAATAAGGATCATCATCACTGACTGCTGGGGGTTCAGTGGAAAAGGGTTAAAGAGGGCAAAAGCCAGCAGTTTGAGATTTGAGGTTTTTATAGCTGACTGTATTATTTTCATACTTCTTATTGTTTTTCGTCATTAAAAGATCAGGCGTTGGAGGGCCAGACAGCATTTACTGTCAGCTGCAAGTTCTTGTAGCTTTGGAAATGCCTCAACTTTCCCTCTTCTGGTCAAATTCCAAATGTTTCCGATCCATATATTTGTGAGTCTCAGAAAGTTGACTCTGTTCACCAGCACGTTGTGTTTTGAGCAGGAGAAGCGTTTCGTCACTCAACCAAGTGACTTCTTCAGTCTCAGCTGACTGCAGGTTTCCCCGACCTTATAAACAGTGCATCTGCATAATGACTGAAGCTAGCACCTACTGCCTAACAGTTAATTTTGTGGGATTTCCTTATCTGGGTGATTGAGCATGCATCAAGGCAAGTCTCTAGATTAAGCTTTACTCGCAACTCATCAGATATGAATGCTTCTAAGCAAATGGAAATCCTATAAAGGAAGAGCTGTACAGGCCTGATTGCATGTTAAGAGACTTGATCTGAAATGTAGCGTGCAGCCTAACCCCAACCCCGCTGGGGTTCATCAGTGACCTGGCAGATGTTATAAGGTGGAGGATCTTTTTGTGTCTCACTAAAAGGCACAGAGTAACTTTTAAGCCTCAATTTTCAGCATGCATTGTTATTTTCTGTGCAGATTTTCTTTTCCCAGACCTACCTGAGCATCTTTGGTGCACAAACTGACACTAAAACACAAACAGAAACCAGTGATTTATGTCACTGCCACCACTTCTGCTTCCTAATGCTGTCTTCATCGCCCTTTTATGGCGCTGATTACCTCTCTGAAACCGTGCTCTGTACCAAAGCTGAGAGACGCCTGATGTTGACAGAATCTCAGTATTTGGCGCCGTGGAGTTAGCAGTGAACACACTGAAGGCTTTTCAGGCCTTGGGGTGATTTTACGGTTTACCATCCAAAGGTTTATTGAACTATTTTCTCCATAAAGACGACATCTGATGACCTCCTCTGCACCCTTGGCACTTCAGTATAGGTATAAAAACGTAGTTTGACAACCATTCGAGTAGATTCTGGGTTTTTTCCAGAGTTCAGGTGAGTTCAGAAAAGAGCTTTAAAAACCTTCTAAAATGATTTCATTGCTTGTTATTTTTCACCCATCCGACATCCATCTTTGGATCTCTAAGGTTATCTTGATCTTGAGAGCTGGGAGAGCGCAGCGTAGATGTTCAACAGACTTCAGGATGTACCTTGTAAGCATTTTCTCCTCCTAGGTGGTCATTTTATGCTAAATTCAGAGGGCTGCCTGCTACTTCCCCTTCCCACTTCCAGGTATTGCTCACTACAAGGCTTCATTACTACATGCTGCACACCAGATTCAACATAAACACAATGTGACTCCAATTTAGAGCTTTGTTGGCACACATCCAGTGTTTGGTTGTCTCTCGCAGCAAAATCAGGAAGTATGTGTGTAAACTGCTGTTGGAAATGCAGATTTACAATCACAGAGTAGTGAGGTGTGTTTGTGTGTTATCGGTGTGCGTGTGTGTGAGAGGATAAACACATTTAACACTCACACAATGTGACGCGTAGGCTGGGAAAACACTGGAAACCTTTCTGTGGCGCGGTGACGTCCTCGCCACGGCAGCTGTCAGTTTAAAGCAGCCACACACACACAGACACACACACACCGCCTGAGGTCAGACTGACACGCTGGACGTGCCGCACTGAAGCGTTTCCTTCTGACTGGTTTGAAGAGTGTGTGTTGAAAAGGGTGTGTGCGTTCTCCACGTCAGCTCTTGGCACACTCCGAGGGAGCCGGAATAACACACAGCACGTCTGTGATGACAGGATAATCGGATGTGTGTGCGCCCCAGGGCTGAGTTTAGCTAGCAGCAGCGACAGTTACAACACCTAAGAAAACTTACAGGAGGCCCATTACTGCCATGGTTTTCAAGGAACTCCTGCATAAAATGTAGTGTAGCAAAAATCACATATTCTGATTGTCGAGGGTTAGAATAAGTTTATCTCGAGTGTCCTCCCAAAACGGTCCTTCAACCAAATCGGTTTGAAGTAGAGGCCCTCTACTTCAAACTGTTCCCTCCATCATGTGTTACATTACTAAAGTAAAGAGACAGGGAAAAGGAAATAAAAGAGATCACAGGGATCAAAAAAACACCCTCATCAACCTCCATCACCCCCAGAGGGGAAGCAGGGAGAGGGGAGTTAAAGAGCTGCTAGATACTGTTAGGTTGGGTTAGTAAAAATGGCTGGGTCAGGGGTTCTGGTTGTGGTCATCCCAAGAGGGTTACATAAAGCAAAATAGCTCATTAGAACAGAATATAATAAAACAGCATTGCTTCATGAGTGTTACACCCCGGCCTAGGCAACCGGCGTGCAACGTATGAAAATAAAAATAACAACACATTTTTAAAAAACTGCTATTTTTTGAGTAAGTGAATGATATTAAACATACTGAAAAATAAAAAAACGAAAGTAGTGACAAAACCCATTTACGGCTATTTACAACAAAACACCAAACTATTTACAACACGGGGAAGATCGCGACCATGACCAACTGACACACAGGGCTTAAATACATAGAGGGAGCAATCAGGGAATGGACCACAGGAGGGAAACACAGCTGGGGCAAATTAGACCTGACGAGACAAGGAAACGTAAACTGAACACACTAAGATAACAACAGACCTTCAAAGTAAAACAGGAAACACATGACAGTCACGCAAAAACAAAACACTGACAACACCGAAACGTAACAATGAGGTAAAAATGACTCAAAATAAGCAAAAATCTAAATGAATTACTATAAAAACTGAGTTTAGTACCATCAAGTGGCTCTATGAAGAAAAACAGGACATCTAATATACATACTAAACAACACAATTTAAACAAAAGTGGTTCAGAAACATCTTTTGAAAACCGGGATTGCAAATGTATTTAAATGAAGTGCAAAATATAACCTGATCTCTTTTAATGTGGCTTTTTTTTCTTTTGCTGAATTTATCCTAAAATAATAGCAGTGTATATATTAATATCCAGCAAACCTTTATTCTAAGTTGCTGTTGCTGAACTTGCTTATGCTCAACGCCCAATCATCTTCTCTCCTCTCTCCTCCCCTCCCCTCTTTTGTTGTCTCTCCAGCGTCTGATACCGAGCAGGATGCAGCGGTGAAACTTGACCAGGAGCGGGCTGAGATAGTCGCCAAATATGACAAGGTACGGCGAACGCTTCCTTCCGTCAGTGTGAAAGCACACAGAAGCTTTGGTGAAGCGGAAAACCCACAGCAATTACTTTTTTTTTCTCCCTCCTGTGGTCATCCCAAGCCAAATTCCAGCCACTCAGTCATGCTGAGACTCCACCAAACTTCATAACGCTGTGGTGAAATCCCTCCATAAATCACTGCCTTATTGCCCGTGAAACACAATAATAACAGCGTGCCGTGTGCACAATGTGCCGCCGTGTGATTTAATCATTTTCATAAATTTCGAAAGGCTGTGATTACTGCGCAAGAGCCACATTTCAGATGCAGCATTCTCAGTGAAAATTAACATGCAAATTATACATCTAAAAGCCACCGTTGTCTTTCCAGTGTGTGTGTGTTCAGTGGGCCGTGCGTTATCTGTGTTAGAGGGGCAGAGAACGACAAAAATCCCTCCTGCAGGCCTGAAGGTTTAATAGAAAGGGGAGGAAGCGGATTCGAGTGGTTACTCATTAGACTAAATGAGTGGGTTAATGTGATGTCATGGGCATGGAATGATTTTATTGACTGGGATCCAGAGGTGGCAGTTCCTTCATCCCAAAGCACTTGAATCAGGGGCGTCAAACGCGAGATCCACCAATGAATCCCGTGTGGTCCACTGGGTAGCTTTGCAAAGTGGGAAAATTGAATTAAATTTAGTAAATAAATTTAATTTGTTAAATAAAGTGCACAGAAACCCACCGCAGGGATGCCAGCATCACTACACAGGAGTGAAAATGTCTGCAGATGTGCACTTTTTCCAGATCTGAAGTAGTTTGGATCATAAAGTTGCTGGTATCTTGATCTGTTGTGATCCATAAATTGTAATGTGCAGTGACTGAAGGGTGCATATGGCAAATTAGGCACTGCTGGAAAAAGTACTTACTTTGATTTCTTGTCCAGCCCACTACAGATCAAACCAGGCTGAATGGGGCTCTTGAAACTGAAGAGTTTGACAGCATACGGTGCTGTGCAAAACCCTCAGTTTCTTTATATGTTGCACCCAAGTAGTAAGACTTTTTAGTAGTTAGTTTTCAAAGCGGTCTTGACCAAAGTTTTTCTTTGGACATTGGCTGCTTTTTCACTCATTTTCACTCCAGTTCTTTTTTGTTTAATCAACTAAACACTGACCTATGAATCATTCAAGCATTAAAAAGGCATCTAACCAAAGGGATGAACCAGTGTTCTGTCTGTTCATGACAAACGTTGCAAAGAACCCATTTTAAATTGTGTCTTTAGGCACTTTGCTACTAGCAGCCTGTCACCAAAACAGATAATTTCTTCTTAAATTTAGGCTATAAAACATGCCAAAGACTGGATTAAACACAGGAATAACAAAGTTCTTTGGGAATAAAGTAGTTCCCAAAGAATTATTAGCTGAAAACCTGACATGTCTGTGTTTGGTGTGCAGTGTGTCCTTAAAGAATTTCAGAAACAGGACAAGTGGATTACAAATGATCGTATGATTATGAATGGCCTCATTTTTCAGCATGACTCCAAACACGCCGCCAATGCAGGAAGAGCAAACCTGGAACATATCAGTCATCAGTGTGTTGTGTCTCCCTGTGTGTTTATACACATTTGAATAAATCAATGCACTAATTTCCCATTTTTCTAACAAAATATGAAGAAGGCGGGATTTCTGAAAGCTTTTTAACAGTGTTATGTCTTTATGAAACCAGCCTTTGCTTGTTTAGAGCTGCATGGGTCGAGTCTAAACCCAAGCATCACAATTTGAATTATGTCAAAGTCACTCAGTCACCCTCAGCTTCCAACACATGAAGTTAAGGAACAGACTGTTCACTTCCTGCCTGTTATATCCAACACTTCTGACAGGTACGTCACCTAAGTCATGTCACCTGTCAGTGGGTTCTCTGTCCTTTCCCCTCATAAAAAAGCCCACTGAAAGCTCCGATATGTCCCCATGCTGCTTGTTTTTTCACAGAGACTTAAAAAAAACATGCGCTGCAGCATATTATCTAACAATGTCCAGAAACATGTCAGACTTTTATGAATCAGTATGAAGTATGTTAAATATCGCTGAAGAAATGTTGCTTTTACTCAAAATCCTGAGTTCTCTTGTGGTTGGACTGTATGTACGCGCTCCCGTCCTGAGTGACGCCTCTGCTACCAAGCACGGCGCTATCAGTTGGACCAGCCCACCATGCTCGGTTTGTAAATTAGCCTTTTTAATTTAGTCCAGCAGGCTGCATAATAAGGCTGCCTCATTAAGAGTGAAGAGACCATGGAGAGCGGAGATGATGGAGGTGTGTGTGCGTGCGTGTGTGTGTGGCAGAATGAGGCACAATCGGAGCTAAATCAGTGTCATTGTCACTGTTGGGGATGGGAGGAGTTTAATAGAGTCTGTTATCACGCTGGCCACAAACACTTGTTGTCTCACGTCACCTGGTGTAAATTTGTGGTTATTAAATATGACTTTTGTCTTTGTGGAATGTGCAGAAGTGACTGATTTTGTTTCCAAATGACACATCTGCTCAGGCCTGACTGCTGCTGCTGATTGCAGAAGGATGGAGCCTATTTTTTATGTTGGGTGGCTGCATAACTCGTTTTTTTTCCCCAGGTCTCTCATAAGTTTTCTTCACTCACCACATTTCAGTTTTGTTCAAGAAAAATCTGTGTGACCCTCAAGCTTCACTAATAATTTTGGGTGTTAGCCAAGAACAAGATTGTGGGCGAGGGGGTCGGATTTGGAAGGGACTTGGAGCTGGATTGGTCTCGAGAAGAGCCAGCTGAGGTGTTTTGGGCATGTCCCATTGGGAGGATGCTGCAGGGCACACTGGGGAGAGGGTGGATGGATGGATAATTGGCGTTAAAGTCCTTCCCTGGTTTGATATTTATGAAATCAGTGCCCAACAATCCAATCAGCCAAACGCTAATAAAATGTCTTAAAATGTATTTATTTTTTCCGTAAATATATAGGTTTATATGACAGAAAAAATCTCAATATTTCCTTTTTTTTTTTTTAATTTAACAGTTGTGTTCTCTGGAGCATGAATTTTATTCAAACAGTTTGAGAAAGTAAGTCAAGTTCTCACAAGGAGATATAAATGAGACGGTGAAGGTGTGAAATACACCTGAGAACAGGCAGGCAGCTGAACGGTCAGAGGTGAAATGACGAGCCTGATTTAATTTCACCCTGAAACTGACACAGAAATGATGATGATGTAGAGTTTGCGACTCTGTGGATACTCACAGAGCGAGGGGGGAGAACGACACACAGAGATCTTCTGATTCCCCTGAGGCGCTCCTCAATGTTTGACTTATCTATTTCAAGGGTGAGTTTCTGTTTGTGCTGAGGGAGCGGTGCAAAAACTGGGTGGGAGCAGAGGGAGGAGACGATTTTTGAAATATTTCACCTCGACATCTGGATGTCAGGCCGACCTGTTAACCACTCACAGCCTTCTCAGGGCTTCGCAAAGCATTTGGCAACCTCCAACAGGCTTTAGCACCAGAGACGTAAGAGAGAGGGGCATGACAATAGAGATCTATAATAGAGTTCTGTGACAATCAGAAGCTTAGTCAGTAAACGTAGACTGTTGTACTGACAAACAGCAGCGGTACATGTACTGTAATTTGCATACAGGCAGCAGAAGTGTAAGCTGACGGTGAAATGGTTCTTTAATCTTATTTTGCAGCAGAAAAATGCTTTATTCATAACACACACACACACACACACACACACACACACACACACACAC